GGGGTCCTCTGCTGCCAGACTCCACTGCCTAACTACTGATCAGCTGGCCAGTGGAGGGAACTTACCCCCCCCCAAAGAGGGAGGCTCTGCCAACATGCAGCGATATAACCTATACCACTGCCCCCGTGACCTGGACATGACGTCATCATGTTGGGAGCGACACTCTTGTATTTGGGCAAAAAAACTCAATGGTAGAAGCCAAATTTACCACAGAGTTTTTGCCCAAATACCAGAGTGTCGCCTCGATGGCCCCCAACGTGGCGACATCGCTTCCTGGTCACACGGGCACATCACTGCATTCCGGCAGAGCCTCCCTCCTGCTCACAGTAAGCCCCCCCCTCCCCTGCCAGTTGCCAGGAGAGATCCAGCCACCCTGTGTATGCATGTTATTTATATTTCGAGATTACACAGAGTGCGTCGATACGATCAACAGGAAGAGAAGTTCAATAAACCAAGAAATAGGATTAGGGTTGGAGAACCAAGCAGAAATCGAAAAAAACGGCACTGCAGCAAAGCATAAGTGTTAAGCTGCCGAGGACTTCTGCCCGTAGGCAGAAAAATTTGGTAGCCTTCTTCTTTTCCTATCCGTTTAAACACTCAGATTCTCAGCAGGGCTATTTTTGGGCAGGAATGCAGGAGCGGAGTTCCGGCTGGCTCCCAAGTTGGCCACGCCCACCAGGAACTCATTAGCATAATAGGCCACACCCAACAGCAAGAACTCATTAGGACTGGCTACATTAGGGGTGTGTGGCCTAACATGCAAAGGAGTTCCTGCTACAAAAAAAGGCCCAGGGTTTGGACAACAAACAAGGTAAACAGAATAAGAAGCAAAAGGTGGGTGTGGCTGGATGACCACACTTCTGGTAACACGGGGGTGCGGCCTAATGTGCTAATGAGTGGTGATGTCAGGGGTGTGGCCTAATATGCTAATGAGTTTCTGCTGTTGGGTGTGGCCTATTATGCTAATGAGTCCCTGCTGGACTTTTTCTACAAAAAGAGCCCTGAGTGGGCCATTTCATAGATCTGCTGTTGAAGAGTAAACCATACGTAACAAAATCTCAGTGGGCTCGTTCCCATCACAAAGACTTCTTAGTAGGCAGCACTTCGGGGGGGGGGATCTTCCCACACAGCCCACTTCTCCCCCACACACACACACACACTTCCTTTTACCCCACCAGGGTCCTCATGGCTGAAGCTATGGTGCCCACTGAAACTCACGCTATCTTCTCAGCTCGGACTCCAATCTGGGAGAACCGGGTTTGATCCCCCACTTCTCCACTTGCAGCTGCTGGATGACCTTGGGCAAGCCGTAGCTCTGTCAGAGCTGTTCCCTCAAGGACAGTCCTCAAAATAGCTCTCTCAGCCCCACCCCAGAACAGGCACTTTGTGAGGCAAGCGGGGCTGACAGAGCTTTGAGAGGACTGGGACTGGCCCAAGGTCACCCAGCAGGCCTCCTGTGTCTCAAAGGGGCTGACAATCGCCTTCCCTTCCTCTCCCCGCAACAGGCACCTTGTGAGGCAGGTGGGGCTGAGAGAGCTCTGAGAGGACTGGGACTGGCCCAGGGTCACCCAGCAGGCCTCCTGTGTCTCAAAGGGGCTGACAATCGCCTTCCCTTCCTCTCCCCGCAACAGGCACCTTGTGAGGCAGGTGGGGCTGAGAGAGCTCTGAGAGGACTGGGACTGGCCCAGGGTCACCCAGCAGGCCTCCTGTGTCTCAAAGGGGCTGACAATCGCCTTCCCTTCCTCTCCCCGCAACAGGCACCTTGTGAGGCAGGTGGGGCTGAGAGAGCTCTGAGAGGACTGGGACTGGCCCAGGGTCACCCAGCAGGCCTCCTGTGTCTCAAAGGGGCTGACAATCGCCTTCCCTTCCTCTCCCCGCAACAGGCACCTTGTGAGGCAGGTGGGGCTGAGAGAGCTCTGAGAGGACTGGGACTGGCCCAAGGTCACCTAGAAGGCTGCAGGTGGAAAAGTGGGGAATCAAACCCAGCTCTCCAGATTAGAATCCGCCACTCTTAAGCACTCCACTAGGGGTTGCTATGTGGAGAAACGCAGTGCAAACTACCTCAGAAGAGCCCATCGATGGAGTTCCCATGAGTCGTTTGTGACTCGTTGGTAGTCTGAGTAGATAAAAGCAGCCCTGATGGACTAAAGGTCGGTGTAAAGCAGCTTTATGTGTTCCTCTTTTAACAGGAAATGCCATGAATTTACACCGGGACTAATATAGTTCAAGCACATGACCTCCCATTGAGTTTCTCCATCACTGAGGCCTCTAACCCAAACTGCTCTCCTTCTAGGAACAGCCTCCAAGGGATGGTCCATGCACGTCCCATCAGAGGTGACGGGCGAAATCGGCAAGGCGGTGTCCTTGCCCTGCACTTTCACCCACCCTCATCAGACCTACGACAAGACACTGACGGCTATTTGGCGGGTGAAGGAACCTTACAATGGGACGGTGGTCTTCAAGTGCGTGGCCCACAGCTCCAGCAGCCTCTGCAAGACCGCCGTCGGCTCGAAGAACAGGTACCAGCTCCTGGGGAACCCCAGGCAGAACGACCTCTCCCTCCAGATACACAACCTGACCTGGAACGACAGCAGCAAGTATTTCTGCCGGGTGGAGTTCTCTGGAGACGTCCACGACAAGTACGAGAGCCGGATGGGAATCAGACTCCAACTGATAGGTGAGAGGTGGCGAGGCGAAGACAAGACAAGCCAACTTGGTGTAGTGGTTAGGAGCCCGGACTCTAATTTGGGAGAGCCGGGTTTGGTTCCCCACTCCTCCTCATTGCAGCTGCTGGTGTGACCTTGGGTCAGTCACAAGTTCTCTCAGATCTGTTCTCTCAAGGGCAGTCCTCGAGAGAGCTCTCTCAGCCCCACCTACTTCACAGGGTGTCTGTTGTGGGGAGGGGAAGGAGAAGGAGATTGCAAGCCGCCCTGAGATTCCTTTGGGTAGTGAAGGGTGGGGTGTAAATCCAATCTCTTGTTCTCTCTCTCTTGAAATCCCGGGCTCTTGTCATGAATTAAAGCTTAGTTTGGGCTCATTAGCTGGTTGCTACTTGGGGCAGAAAGGCCAAATTTAAGGACATTTACTGGAGACCCCTTTGGAAAATGGAGCCCTCTTCCAGGAGCTGGAAACTCTAGAGCTGGATGCTACAGAGATGACTGTCAGCTAGGCCTTTCTCCAGCCCTGACTGCCACAGGAGTGGGGTTGACTCTGGAATGTTTGGTTTCTTTTCTGCTGTGTCTCCTGTGTTTCTATTATCTCTGTATGACCCTCCGTGCCTGGTGTAGTCTTTCTCCTGGGAAAAGTAGCCCGTTACTTTGGTGGGCTTCTACCTGATCCATGATTGGCCCTGGTATATCTGCTGGCTGAGTGTGCTTCTCTTCAGTTCTAACACTGAAAGTGTTAACGATAACTGCATCCTCTCAATGTCTCGATAAACTTTACATCTTTGAATGAAAGCTGTTGGGAGCTGATGGCTGCAGGAGCCCGAAGAGAGGAAGATGGAACCAGTAGAGTTGCCATCCTCCAGATGGGCTATAAACAGAACAAAAGTCACCGTGGTCAGTTTACTGATGTACTTTCCAATACTATATCAATCGTCCTTCATTCATTGAATCATGCTTAATCGGGGGTCATTTCCTGCAGGAGCGCAAAGGAGCAGAGCTCCGGCAGTAAAGAGCCCAGGGGGCGGGCACATGCAACAAGCCCCACCCCCTGCTCCCAGCAGCCCTCAGTCAGAGCAAGAAGCAGCCAGGTACATTGCAGAGCCCCCCCCCACCGGCCCATCAGTCCAAAACAGTCCAGTGGCACCTCTAAGACCAAGTTTTGTTCAGGTACAAGCTCTCCCTCCTCTGCGAGGACAGATCTGCACGTTTCCCCCCCTCCCCCATAGCTAGCAATCCAGAACAGTCCAGTGGAGCCTGAGCGGTGGGTGTTGCCTTCTGACACACTTCCGGCATATGCAAATAAGTTATGCTAATGAGCTCCTGCACCTCTTTTTCTACGAAATGACCCCTGTTAATACTCACAGTCCCAATCATGTCAATATCGTAATCGTATACAAATACTCACATACAAATGTTCAGATATGAACATCAAACCAGTCCTTCAAACGATAACTCCAAGGTAGAGACACCGCATCAATCATGGAAAGCATCCTCAAAAAAACAAATCTCACAACCAGTGTTCCCTCTAAGCTGAGTTAGTGTGAGCTAGCTCACAGTTTTTTAGCCTCTAGCTCACAGATTTTTCATCTTAGCTCAGGAAGGATGGCTCGAGAACAAACTAATTTGTGCAGTAGCCAAATTGCTCGCTCACAACTTGAATGCCAGTAGCTCACAAAGTAGAATTTTTGCTTACAAGACTCCACAGTTTAGAGGGAGCATTGCTCACAACTATAAATTGTAGCTGTGCGTTGTTCCACCGGGGAGACTCCGAGGACTTTAAGATTTTTCCAATATGTGAATGAAAATCGTTGGGTATTGATTGCAGAAAAGATATGCTTGCAAAACCATGCGTCTACGTGAAATGAACATTTCCAGTCAACTGTTTGTCGCCAGGACCTTTTTATTTACCCTGTCTGTTGGGGCTGTTTTTTTTTCTCTCTCCCCTTTTTTGTGGGGCAGGTAGAAGGGACGCAGTGGAAAGGGCAATCCCCCATCCAAGTATCTCCCTTTGTCACGAGACAAGAACTCGTGGGCACTCCATGAAATTGCTGAGCAGTCGGGTTAGAACGGATAAAAGGACATCCTTCTTCACCGAAAGAGTGATTAACACATGGAATTCACGGCCAAGGTGGTGGTAGCTACAAGCATGGATGGCTTCAAAAGGGAATTGGATAAAGATATGGTGCAGAGGTCCATCAGTGGCTATTAGCCACAAGGTATAGATAGGGACAGGAGATGCGGTGGCTCAAGTGGTTAAGACGCTGAACTGCAGGCTGTGGAAGGTCGGTAGTTCAGCAGTTCGAGACCTGGGTGCCGCATGACGGAGTGAGCTCCCGTCTCTGGCCCCAGCTCCTGCCAGCCTAGCAGTTCGAAAGCAAGAAATTGCAAGTAGATAAATAGGTACCACTTCGGTGGGAAGGGAACAGCGTTCCGTGCGCCTTGGTGTTTAGTCATGCCGGCCACATGACCACGGAAACGTCTTCAGACAGCGCTGGCTCTTCGGCTTGGAAACGGAGATGAGCACCGCAACCCTAGAGTCGGACTCAACTGGCTTTCGAACAAGGGAACCTTTACCTATAGATAGGGACTCTCGGTCTGGGGCAAGGGATGCTCTGTATTCTAGTTGCTGGGGGGGGGGAGCAACAGTGGGAGGGCTTCTAGTGTCCTGGCCCCACTGCTGGACCTCCTGTTGGCCCCTGGTCTTTTTAGCCACTGTGTGACAGAGTGTTGGACTAGATGGGCCATTGGCCTGATCCAACATCGGCTTCTCTTAGGTTCTTATGTTTGTTCTTAAGT